GTTTTTTAATTCCATGATCATTTGACAGCAAATAATAAATATGCAATGTGGTAACAAAGTTAACAAAGTAAGCTAAAATGTGTATAAGAACTAGTGTGCAATCAGTAATATAAAAATATTTATCACTGTTGTACAATTTTTTGATCAAACTTTCAGAAACCGTACTCAGGTGTTACAATAAACTGAAAGTTAGTGAAAGAATAAGTTCTTTATCGCAATCTTAGAACTGTCCTTTGGTATTACGATAGGCATTGGTTGAAATTGAGAGAAAGCTTGGAAGATAGATAATAAACAACGTAAAACAGAAAGTTTTGCGAACCACAGTATTGTTTATATTCAAAAGAGCTGCCTACTGGCATTTCTCATCATAGACAAAAATTTGTATCTAAGTGCATACTGTCATTTTTTTGCCCCTTTTATCCCAATTTCATGCGTACCAACACATTTCTTTCTGCCATTTCAAGTACCAGCAAAACCTAAAGACGGTTGCTGAAATTTTTGATTAACTACAAGAAAAACTCTCTCTCTTTCTCCTTTTTTTATCTTAATAAGCTACTTCAAAAGTTAACTATCGATATTGTTGATTTACGTAATATACTCATAGAAATGCTGTTCTTATTGGAAGCATTCCTTGGAAAAGATCTAATCATTGGATTTTCTTAATCATATAAGGTAAAGCTTAGCTTTATGAGCCTGATCATATCACGATAGCTTCTAACAAACATATTCACTGGTTTTTAGTGAAATGTTTTGTGATGTTTACGTTTTCTGTGCTTTCGTGTGTCTGATTAATGATTGAAAGACGCAGAAATTTTCACATTATTATTTAGGCACCCAAAAGCAGGTTGAATTATATACAACTACTATTTGTTTGTTTGTTTTGAATTTTGCGCAAAGCTACACGAGGGCTATCTGCGCTAGCCGTCCCTAATTTAGCAGTGTAAGACTAGAGGGAAGGCAGCTAGTCATCACCACCCACTGCCAACTCTTGGGCTACTCTTTTACCAACGAATAGTGGGATTGACCGTCACTTATAACGCTCCCACGGCTGAAAGGGCGAGCATGTTTGGTGTGACGGGGATTCGAACCTGCGACCCTCAGATTGCGAGTCGAGCACCCTAACCACCTGGCCATGCCAGGCCATATACAACTACTTCACTTCAATGGTTGTACGATATTGTTACGTCTGTGTTCGTTTGTTAATTTCCCGTATAACTTCTTTCGGATGAAACTTTAGCGATACAAGTCCTTTCTTAAATAAAACTAGTTTATTCTTTCTCAATACAACTTTGCAATACACTTAATTTCCACAGTCACTTTAACTTAAACAGACGCTATAATTCACAACAATTCACGCACTTTACTCACGGTCACTACCACGCTTGACTCAATTGTCCGTCTCTATCTCTGCATGTCTGCAATTATCTATACCGTCACTTCTTGCCGGTCTTATATATACAAAAAATAGAGGGTGCGTAGAGAAGACTAGAGTTGCCAGAAACAGACATGATCCTTCTAGAATCTCATGACGTGTTACTAGCGTTACGTGACTTCCGCTGTTGTAACAATATATTCAGGTCGAACTGATTTTCCTTTGAACGACAAGATGGGCCTGAGGAATAACGGAAGCTTACAACAAGACATATATATATTATGGAGTAATTTTGAGTTCTCTGAGAAATTAAGTTCATAAAAAAAAGATGAAGAGACAGGATACAGTTGTAATAAAATACAATGAACAGTCTTTATTATTTTCAATCACAGACACAGTGAGTGTAGTTGCTTATGGTTATGGACGGTTGCTTTTACTACCTTGGTTGAGTTCCTATTCCAGACTGTTTGTTTGTTTGAAGTTAAGCACGAAGCTACACAATGGGCTATCTGTGCTCTGCCCGCCACGGGTATCGAAACCCGGTTTCTAGCGTTGTAAGTCCGCAGACATATCGCTGTGCCACTGGGGGGCTATTCCAGATTGATTAAATCTTATGTTACCTGTTAGGGCACTCGACTTGTGATGTGCGGGTCACAGGCTTGAATCTCATCATCGAGTAGCTTTGTGCATAACTACAAAGAAATAAACAAACTCATCAACGAACATGCTCGCTCTTTCAACCGTAGGGACGTTATGACGTTACACTCAATCTCACTATTTGTTGGTCAAGATTAGTCTAGTTAGCGGTGGGTGGTGTTGACTAGTTGCTTTCCCTCTAGTCAGTCACTTCGAAATTAGGAACAGCTACGCGCAAATAGTCCTCACACAACGTTTCGTGAAATTCAACAAACGAACAAACAAACAATATGTTACCTAGATAAACGATAAGGTTAACTTTACACAAAGTGACTAACGCTACTGACGTGACTGGTCATTCCCATTCAAACGTAAGGGAGGTTGTAATCTCGAGGCATTGCTTGACCTGCCATTGGAGGACACTGCTGTCTACATTCACGCACAAGGTGCAGCTTTACAGCCAAACTGCTTACTGGCAAATCAGATGTTATCTTAAAACCATGAAAAAGAACAGAAGTAGTTAGAACAAAAGCGATATAACGATTTCTTGACCATTTATTGTGTGAAAACAGCACATATCTAAATACCTGACTAATTTCGAAAAATTCCATATTGAAACAAGAAGGTAAAAAACGTATGGTATACCTGCATGCCACAAGTTGAGTAACACTGGAAAGAACAGGCAACATATATTTAGCGAATAACTGAATATATGTGTTCCTACTTCCACAACATAAAAAGTAAAATGTAAATCTGACAATTTAAACAGGCTGAATGAAACATACAAATGTAAACAGGTTGAATAGAAAAAAAATCATTTCATTTTGCTGCTGTCATGTTTTTCTGGTTGGTAAATTTGTATTAAGCACAAAGCTACACAATGGGCTATTGGTGCTGTGTATCGAAACCAGATTTTTACCATCATAAGTTAAGAAATTTACAGCTGAGCCACTGATAAGTACGTTTTTCTATTAAATTAGCCTATTCGTTCTTGCTGTTAAGTTTTTGTAGTGTAATCCTATGCTTATGTGGCATTTGAAAATACCATGTATTCATTTCTATCTTTTTTTAGTATCATTATATTTATTCTGAAGCCATTCATTGCTCTGAATATGTAATGGTTTTATACGTAACACATGATAGAGAAAAACGATTAGTTGATCTTGTTTCCAGTTGCCTTGGTTCCTTTGTTGTTCTCGAAACTAGATAATACCTGTGTTTGAGGAAACATTGCTTAGGACGATATGTTGCGTAAAGATGTCGACGAGTGCGTATCGCTCTAGGCAAATGCAAGGTTTCTTACAAACTAAAAAACTTGGATTTGGTCAGTCTGGAACTGTTTATTTAGTAAAACAGTTAGTCTGAAACTTCGATTTCTTTTAAATGGTTTGATACGAGACCCCATCTGTGTAGTGTGAAGGAAGAATCAGTGAAAGCGACGGTCCAACGTGTTTAAAACATTTAAGGGTACAGACATTGTGTTTCACTGTACAATAAAGATTGCTCATTTCGCGTTTCATCGTGTTCCAGTTTCTTTATTTCATTTAACATCAATATAATAAGAGTTTTAGCGTTACTCCGTAATCGACATCTTGATCGAATCTTTAGTTACCAAGCTGACCTATCTCGTGTAGCTCTAAAGCTGTGGTTCTAAACCTTTTTTGTTCGTTGACCACTTCGGAGGAGAAAAATACACCATGAACCACTACCTGTCCTACACCACCTGCTTTCGCTTGCTTGTTATGGATTTCGCGCAAATCTACTCGAGGGCTATCTGCGCTAGCTGTCCCTAATTTAGCAGTGTAAGACTAGAGGGAAAGCAGTTAGTCATCACCATCAACCGCCAACTCTTGGGGTATTCTTCTACCAACGAATAGTGGGATTGACCGTCACATTAGAACGCCCCCACGGCTGAAAGGGCGAGCATGTTTGGTGTGACGGGGATTCGAACCCGCGACCCGCATATTACGAGTCGAGCGCCCTAACCACTGGGTCATACCGGGCCCTTTCCTTGCAACCGCAAAACAACAACCAAAATCTGATCAGAAGTATTGGGAAGAACGGCGCTCTCTCTCTCTCCGTATTGGGATTTTGGTCTTTGCGACCTAGAAGGGTCAGGTTCATAGTGACCTCTTCCTCCTTTCCGGATTGTGTTTAATCACCAGTAAATGTTGGTGTTGATACAACATGAGGGTCAGAGTAAACTGCACTTACTCCGACTTCTTTCAGGGCAATGTCCATGTAAGTATCGACAGTTAGATTCAGTGTTTTGCATTATATCTCTTGAGTCAGTTCCATAACACATTTCACTAATCGAATTCATTTGACATAAAATAATCTATTAAATGTATTGTTCTTAGATTCTAACTAGTGTAGGGTTTTAAAGTCTAGTAATAGGTGGTCTTATTAAATCCTTATTTCTAAAATAAATGTTTACAGGTGAGAGGTACTTAAGTCTACTTTCATCGTGTATGTAGTAGCGATCAAGTTCACAGAGTAGGTCATTCTTTTGCCAACTTTTCTCAAAGTAATTTAGAGTATTATGCAAGAGTCTATCGGCTATTGTTTGTATATTTGCATATCTGTGCATAAATTTTGATGAGGTATTGCGGAGGACTTACTTGTATTTTGAACCAGCCCGCGAAACCTGAAGGATCCTCGCGGGTCACCAATGGGCACGAATCACTGCTCTATAGAGTTGTAAGACTAAAAGTTGTAACACATAATAGTTTCGTTTATACAAACCAGAAACATATTTAATCATAGTATAAATTAAAAGTTATTTCTTCCCCTTACATTAATGATAAAATTTACTAGCTTATTATTTTTGTTACTGCGAATTAAAGTTGTTGAAATATACACATAAGTATAGCTCGCCTTTCTCCCTCTAATTCTCACGACTTCCTTTTAACTCGCAGGAGCGTTTAATGATCACTACATGGCGCCACTAGCATATTCATTAGCTTGAAACAGGTTTGTCAAAGTTCTCACTTGCAGGAAGTATTCTGATTGCAATGTGTAGTGTTATGGATGTTTTAGATGTAGTTCGTAGACGATGAGGTATATGAAATGTTAGTTGACGAAATAATATATATAGAGAAGTAAGTAGTGCCACAAATTACAGTTGTATATTAAGAGTGAAAATAAGGAAAAGTGTTTTCTACTGATCGATTTGGGCGTTTGAAACTGAAACTGAAATGCCATCTGCTTTTACTGGCAAGTGATTTGGTGACGCCTGTTTTACTCCGATTCGATACTTTCACATATTACTGTTACCTTAGTATTAGTAATAGTATTACCTTCAAAACTTGTAACTAACGTTAATCAAATTCGTAGTATTTTTGTGTTTTCGGGTTGTTCAAGGTGCTTAGGAAAGTACACCTTCAGTGCGTACTTCTCGTTATATACACAATTAAATTCATATTATCAGTTTTAAAATTTTACTCAAGACGGTAACTTTTAATTTGTTAATTTATAGATTTTTGGTATCGTGTTTCATTCATGAAAATTGTATGTGAATCGGAAAGTGATGATGGAAAACTATGCTTATGTCGCAAATGTGGGTAAGTTGAATAATACATTTTTTTGTATTTTTTATTTGCTTAAACTAAATCCAAGGTGAATTAATAATGGTCAGATAGTTTTTATTTGCAAATATTTCACATATCTTGACGAGCAGACGAAAGACTAATTACAGAGTATTGATTTATTATTCATAGTGATACAGTTACACAAGCATGCACTTTTGTCAGAAATTAGTTGTATTCTAATTTATTTGAACTTACGTATTTTTAAAGCCAAATAAACAGTTGTTCTGTTCATTTATTTCAAAAATAGATTTAACTTGCAGAAAAGCATAACATTGCATATTTTTATATTACGATAAACACAAGTTCAGAGGTTAATGGAAAATTGGTATGACAGTTGACAAATATAAGAATGGTGGCACCTGGAAATAGAAATTAGGATGTAATATACAACTACAAATGCCTTGACTATCATAAATCTTGTAAGTTTATCTGTTATTGAAGAGTTAAACTGAAAGTGAATATCATGCTTAAATTAAAATATGCATTGTTTGAATAAACTATGAGTGATGTAGTAAACACAAAAAGAATCAATAGTGTCAAACTGCTAATTATGTGTCACTTGTATGTGCAAATAATTAATTTCTACACTGTTACTCATTACTTCAAAAGTTTTTCCTCTGGATACCACTACTAATCATTATCTACCTGTTCATGTTACAAATTTACAAATCAGAAATGATAATATTTTTCAGCTTTGTGACAGAGAAGTTACAAATATTTGACTTATTAGAATATAACATAATTCTGGATAAAGTGTTTGTTGACTAAATATTAAAGCACTTAATTTATGTTAGTTAGGATTGAACATTTTTTGTTTTATTTATTCAGGTACAGTTAAGCCTAAAATAAAATTAAGGCCTAATACAAGTAATATAACATATGGACACCAGGGACCATTTGTTTCATCAGTAATTCCCTTTCAAACCCAATACTGAGAAAGGTAAAAGTTTAAGACCACCCATTATTTTTAGCATAGTGGCTCATAGAATGGCTCAGAGTTTTTTTTTGTTTTTTTTCAAGTACAAACTTTTAGCTCATAGCTTCATCTCTTGACTGATTTGAGATCTAATTACAGCCATGGCTATTGAAGATTCCCTCTTATTAAGGAAATTATTGACTCCCATTTTTAATTTTAAACTTATTTAAATCACTGAGCTTCACTACTTTTACTACTACTAACAGTAGCAACTCATTCCATAAGTCAATCACCATTATTAGCAGTAAAATATAATGAAGAGAAAATATGGTAAAAGATCTTAACCTATGATAAAAGAAACCTTATAAATATGATAATTGAGATCCAACTTAGATTCACCTTACTGATCTGTTTTTTTTTTCAAAGTGTTACTTGTCTGGATGAAGGAAAGTATGTAAACTTGCCATATATATAGATTAAAAAAGAAAAAAGCTTTATGTAAGGTATCACAAAAAGTATTGGCTATAAGATCACATGAGTAGAAGTTGGAAAAACTAGTTAATTGGATGAGAGAAAGGAAAATGTTGTTATTAATAGTCTAGCCAAACTAGGCCTTTGTTGAGTACTAGTGTAGTGTTTCAGAAGTCAGTGCTTGGCCTTTGCTCTTCATTTTTTACATTAGTGATACTGTTATGGGCATAATTAGTAAAGTTTGCTGACTACATTAAACACTAGGGCATTTCCAGCTGTATTCGGAGTGATGAGGTATTACAGAATGACTTTTATCAAATGATAAGTTGGACAGATATTTTATAAATGAACTTTCATGATACATTGATACTAAGTCCAGGGTAATAAATCTGATTTATCGTAATTTGGATTACACACTTAATATATATATGTGGGAATCAACTCAATAGGTTGACTGAAGAATCGTCTTGGTATTATGATGAATGAGTCAGTCAAGCCAGCAGACCAGTGCTTATTTGATAGTTACAGCTAAAGGAATTTTGGGATAATTTCATAGACATTTATTACAAGTCAAAATAGGTAATTGTCTATCTGTACAAATCGCTAGTTAGGCCTCATTTGTAATACTGCATACAGTTAAGAGCCCGTGATTTCTTTGTGCTATATTCTGATGATCGTAAGATGAGAGGATGAGTTTAAGATTTAGAAAAGACAGACTAGGGTCCAGTTAAGAAAGTTTTATTTTTCTAACAACTTGGTTGACTTGTAAAAGGAGTTGCCATCAGCGGTAGTGGAGGCTAGAACTTTACAGGAATTTAAGAAGGGAATTGATGATTTCTTGTAAAGTAAAGAGTGCTTTTTAATTTTTAATTTGGAAGTGAAAGGATGGTCTTGAAAAACCAATTAGTCCATTTCTGTTAATGGGTTATGTTATATTAAGAAACCTATTTTTCTTTCTACTTGGCTCTTTAAAATCCCAATGAATGCATCCAAATCTAGTCTTCTCTAATTATTGCATCAGTATTCTTATTAGTAACAACCCTGATCTTATTATACAATTTGTTATTGATCTTGTCTGTATTATTGGTTTATAACAATTGGTTGAACATTTTCTACCCATGAATACCCTGATTGTAACCATTCAACTTCTTATCTGTATTTTGTTTTGTGTGTTCCATATTAATAGGCTGCAGTTCATCACATATATAAAGAGCCAACCATCCATCATTTATATGTATTTCACATGTAATTTGAATAATTCCTATTATTATTTTCTCCAAATCCAACTAGATTTAAGTAATTCCCATTATATTATAGTTTTCCATTTCATCTAGAGCCCTGAGCTCATCCATTTTCTTCTAATACTCCTAATATTAGAATAGTAGCAATTAATAAAATTGTATTATTACAGAAATAAAATCTAAAGATGAGTTATTTGTCTATTTATCACATTTTAGATAAACTCAATTACTTTAGTGAGAAGAAAAGGTGGTGATAATATAGTGTAATACATTTAACAGTGTTGTCAATAGGCTACTTGTAGCTGTGAAGTTGTACTTAGTGTTGATTATTTATTCCCAGGCTACAATGTAATATTAAGAGTAGTGTAGGTGTTAAGTGTTTACTGTCCCTACTCTAGGACTCCTCTTCTTCCTGAGGCCTCTCCATTCACAGGATGGGCTTGTCGACTCCTCAGGTTGGTATATTCATTTCTGGATGTGGATACTTGCAGGCTATTTCACAATTTTTCCTAATCGTTTTCTCTCCTGACTCATACCCTTGCTTCCCATTTTTGCTGGCTTTTGGCAAGATCCTCTAAGTAGGCATGTGGACAACTTCTGACATGTTCCTCTCTCACTTTAACTACACCATTTGGTTGTTTCATCTCCTGTTGTATTTTCATCTTCCACTGGTTGTCATCTTTGAGAATAGTACCATAAATGCCCATGTATAGTGCACAGTATATTTTGTTTGGCATTGCACACCAAAAAATTAATATGCCAATTTATAGTGAACAGAGGAATCCTAACAGTTGATTGGTCTTTGTGTAGCAAGTGGTGTAATTTTATGTTCATTAGTACTTGTTAGTGCACATTTATGTGAATACCATTGCCAGTTAATTAACCATATTCCTTAATGAACAAACAAAGGCTGAACTTATTATTACCTGTAATTTGTGTATATGCGTTTATAAACAATGCCATGTACATAAGGTATAGGAGAGTAACAAAGAATTGTACTTTTCACAAATACTTCATTTATTAATGACTATGGTTTCACCAGTAAGGGCACCTGTACATGATGATGCCTTTACTGGTGAAACCATAGTCATTAGTAAATGAAGTATTTGTGAAAAATACAATTCTCTTTGTTATTTTTCCTCAATTCTGGATAGTAAAATCATCTTATGACCCAGCATAAAAAAGCTCCCTAAAATCGAAACAATTTTTGCTAGTAAATTATTAGTAAATAGCAGGATAAATCGTGCAGTACTTATGGTTGACAGAATGAATCCATTATACATGTATGACTTGAAGCCTAAAAGATAAATGTCAGAAGTTCAGGTGTTTGTTTATTCCATTTCTTTATGTTTCTTTTTTCTTACTTCCGGTGATCCAACAGCACCAAACGATGACTACATCAGAATATAAGATGTGTTGAGGCAACATTTAGACTACAAATTTCACCCGCAAAGTACTGGAAGAATACTGTTATTTCATATAGTGTGCACTTCATACTTGAGCCCAAAAACTTTGGGAAAAAAGGTGTGCACTATATGTAGATATTTATGGTAAGTACATTTTCTTTTTTAGCTCCCTTTTACATTTATTAAGACTATGCCAGGTGCCTTCTAGGGTTGCTTATTTCCCGAAATCCACTTCTAACCAGGATAATGGAAAGTGCTCCAATCATCGCCTTGGCTCTACCAGTGCCCAATGCAAACTGGGGTGTTCTAAAATCATTGGAGGTATCCTTGTGGAAAGTCAAGGAAGTTTATTTTATCACCATAGAAGAAGTGTGCTATTTTTAAACACTCATTTTTAATTACTGACCTATTAACTCTCTCTTTTTTCATTAAATATTTAATATGGGATGTTTGGAGTAAGAATAGGATTAATCTCTTCAAAAAAAATATTTCTAGAATCAAATTTAAAGTTTTCAAGACAAGAGGTGTGGATATTTTTTGTGCACAAGTGGATTGCTAGCCATAGTTAATATCTTCCAATATAAAACAGAAAAGTACACGTATTATTGTAGAATTTGTTGTAATACTTTGGTGTAATGGTCATGACTTCCCATATAGAAAGGTTTTAATTAAGTATCTAGCTATTGATAGAGGATTTAAACAAATATAGTAGACAAAGCATTTAAGAAGTTTAACAAAAATGCAAATTCAGTTAAAAATACTACATTAAAATCTGTATATTAAAAATAAAAAAAAGAAACTCTAAGTTTATCTTGCGTTCCAGGATTAACAGGTCTTCAAACCTATCTTCAAACCAATAAATAAGATATAAGATATGATAGAGAATGCTAAAGACAAAATAGAATTAACAGATAAAACAGGTATATACAAGATAGAATGTGAATATGGTAATGTTTATATTGATCAAACTAAAAGAAATTTAAAATATAGATTTCAAGAACACAAAAGTTGCATAAGAAATAATAAAATAGAAATTTCAGCTATAGCCGAGCATGTAAAACTACCTAACACACAATATTATGGTAAAAAACTTTAGTTTTAGCTGAGCCTTGAAGTTTTATATCATTAGATATTAGAGAAACATTAGAAATAATGAAATATAAAAAAAACAAAAACAAGAATTAAATAGAGACAAAGGACCAGCAAGTCAATACATTGATATATGGCAAGATACATTATAATTTTTTTTTTTAATTACACTAAGGAAATATGCAAATAACAATGAAGTAATGCAACAAGGGGAAAATATAAAATAGTCTTGCAAGTTACTCCTGAGGATGATGTAGAACATGTTGAAACATGTACATGTAGAGTGATATTTGTATTTTAAAGTGGAAGCCATACGGCTTCGATAAAGTTTTTATTGTGTAAATATAAAACATTGTTTTTAATTATTTATTATAATTTAAAAAATAGAAAGGTTATATTTTATTTGGTGTTTGTGTTTTAGTTGTAATCTCAGTGGGCCAAATGTCTGTCTGTTACTTTGTTCGTTTATATGCTCTTATGAATAAATTGCTGAATTAGGCCACTATTTGTCTACTTCAGTAAGGGTGAAAGAAACCTCTGTTGAAGAATTTTCTTTTCTACAGAATTAAATAGGAGGAAAATAACCTAATAATTTGAGGAAAACTGTGTCCCACACCCAGCAGGACCATATAAAAACATGGTATGTAATGTTATAAGCAAAGAAGCAGTATAATTGGGATGAGACGGGTCAAAATGTGAGTGTAAAATTGTTAAACATTGATTCAATGTCAGAGATGAAGCTCTCCTGTAAAATAGGTTAGCAAAAGTTAATTCATCCATATCTACCATATAAAGAAAGAATATTATGTGTCAGATGAAAGAAAACTTGGAGGTGGGTACACGGGAGCAGAAATTCTAGATCACAAGTATCAAATAAACGTGATGCTTACTTTCCCAGTCATAAACAAAACGTGAAGTAAATTAATTCATATTTGCCATACAGAATTCTCCAATCAACAAACAATTGTTTTAGCTTGAACATCAATAGCAGGTTGAGGAGGACAATAAGCCATACTGTTGTAGTGGTAGAAGAACCTTGACTTAAATGAGTAGGAACGTGTATTGAGAGGAGTAGCATCTCAACTCTAACAAACAAGCCTAAGTTCCTCATATTTCTGCAAGGGTGGGTGAGTGTAGAAGAACCAAACTCTGTACTGTAACACAGAAGACATTTCATTAAATCAAACATTTTATAAATCAAATAATAAGATCTAACCAGTTGTAATTAAAAAAGGCAGGAGTTGAAAAGTCTCAGTCAAAAGTTTCACATCCAAAACTGTGAGATCAACTTAATCTAAAGTAGAAGTCTTCGAATCATAATGATGGACACAAATTCCAAAAATCATGAATGAAAAAGCTTGCAGAATTTATCTGAAATAAAGCTCAAACTATGCTTTAAAAACATCTTATTTAAACTTATAAGCACATATATTCCATTTATTATGAAGAAAAATGGCATATCTATTGACAACATTCTGTTGTCTAAAAATTGTACAGAAAGCAAGGACATAAAAACAGTTGAAGTTACTCTTCACCTACCAAAACAATCAACTAATAACTTAACTTTTTGGAAGAATTCTACAATGAAGCAAACCATCCACTAGTTTATAAATAGACAGAAAATAATGGTAACCAACTTTCTTCCACTTGGCCCAGTCTGTGAAATTAAATTCTTTTAAATAAGAAAAGCATTCTCAATAAGATCAGTCGTTTTTTGCATCGTATCACCTTTGAATTTTAAACTCTTGTCCTTGAAATTGTCCAACTTATTGTCACAAATAAAGAATAATAGAAGTTTCAAAATCTATTTCCTTAAGAGCCTTCTAAGAATATTCTCCCAATAGGAAAATTATTATTTTTCACAACTATTTATATGACACTAGCCAGTATGACCCATTAAAGAAACTTAAGAGGCCTTTCTGAACAGAAACAACAAATTCCGAAACACACTTACCTCTTCTCACTGTTTAGCTTTATCCTGGTAAAAGTTTCTCTTCTCTGCCCACCTAAGCTTTGGTATGAATATTGCCTCACTTACTCTTGCCTTTATACCCCACTATATTGCCCATAGGGATTTAAATCTTGTGATTCTCTCCACCTACATCAATGTGCCCCTATACCAGTTCTGTATATAAGCTCCCCATTATTGCTTCCTATTCACTTTTCATGATGGCAGAATGTTATGATGATGGTTTTACGTGATTGCTGCAGGTTTCTCTTACATTTTGTATGACTTTTGTTATACTTTGCTTTGCACGATTTTTTTTAACCGTCTTATTTGGTTTTGAGTTTATTGTCAGTTTTCTTTAACATTCACACACACACACACAGATTCTGAAATCTTTTAGATACAAATTCTCACATTCGTGTCTCTGATACGAAGTCTCCTAGTGCTCCTAATCTGCCACTTCTGGAGTCTAGCATTGTGAGGGAAGACCACCTTTCCATGGAGGACATTCAATTCCTCATACATGGAGAGGTGGAGTCTTACATGAGGTCTGATGTTTCTTCTCCTGTAGGCTCAGCTTGTGGGGGATCAGGGGCAGACTGGTGAGAATTTGGACTCTATTTTTCTGGCTCCTTCCTTTAATCAGACAGCTAATAACGAGCCTTGGAAGGACATCCCACCTCCTGCACAGTTTTTGCAACTAGTACATCAAGTTTATAATAATGTGTTGATTGGGATACTTGAATTCTCGGAGCATGTCTGCGACTAGTTTCTTAGGGATCCCGAAGGCAGCACATGCGACATGAACTTGAGTTTTAGTGAGCACCATGATTCAAAAGTTTTTGCAAAAAATGAAATTTGAAGAGTCAAACACCCAAGAGTACATTGAAATAACATTTTCTCATGAATGATGATATGCACAGTCCTACCAAGTTTGTCATTACTTTGGGGAAAAAAAAGTGTGATTTATTTTGCAACATCCCTTAAGTGGTCTCCGAGACATGGGTATCCTTTACTGTGCATGACACAAGGTTTTAGTGTCTTACCTTCAAAATTTTATTAAAATACTTTGTTTTTGTTTTACCAATTAGAATAGCATAAAGTCTTAGCTAATAATCCATATTTTAATAGTATATTAGTTTCAAGTTCTTGATTCAACAAGTCAGTATTTTAAGTTCTGAATTTCCCCTAGTGTGACCCACGGGACACATTTTCTCTAAGCATGTTATCTTCCCTATTTTATCCACCACCCTTCAGAAAAGTATGAAATTAAATGTAAATTACTCTCTATAAAATCATCATTGCTCAGACAAACCATAACTTTTGTTGTTTTCAATTTTGTTTGGTTACAGAGCTATTGAATAGAAATTCTGGCCCCTCCTGCCATGCCTGTCTGTCACATCCTCTCTTTCAGAATTCATTGATAGTTCTCTCTTAAGTTTAATTATATATTACCTATAACCATTAGAAAGTCAAGGTTTTAATAAATCAAATGACGTATTTTATAACATTATGTTCTGAACACTTAAATGTCAATTTCACTCTCAACATTTTTCCCATGAAAAAGTTAACAACTAGCTTTGAATGTGTAATGACTCTTGTCGCATAGTTAGAAAGCCAGAAAAATTTTGAGAGGTAAGGGAAGTTGCCTACTTTTTGCATGTTATTAGTCTATATTCTTTGGTGCATTATTTAGTTAAATAACTTATTAAGTGCATTACTATCATTAGTATAAAAATTAGGGTTAATTCTCTTCGACAAGCGACAGCAAGGAAAAAGAAGACTGGTTAATTATTTTATTTCTTGTTTTTTATGTTTGTTCTTTATGTATAATTATAAAAGTAAATAAAATGTAAAGATAGGGATCATTTTAGGTTAGTTAAGATTAGATTAGATAAAATATATAATAATAATATTATAATAAAAATTTTCATGAGGCACACATGTGAGCAGCTCGTGGGAAATGTAATTCGTTAGCGTAATATTATAATGGCACTGATAGTAGTTAGACATGGTTCAAAGGGCAATAAAATATAATTATAAATAGATGTATACTGTTACGAACATAGGGCTACTAAGGATAAACGAATGTAGTTTCATGTTACAA